ATGAAAATAGTCCGGACATCACCTCATCTTGGACGCTACAAAGTGATGGACTACAATGAAGAGACAGAGACACAAGAGCCTTGGAGAAGGTAACTGTTCTAGAGGGAGGGGGGGGCAGTTAGGAGGCTACTCCTTGCCTTGTGCCAGGTTGACTGTTACCATCATCTTCCTCAGAACAGGCAGTAACTATACCTAATGCCACTGCTTGTTTTTCTGCTTTAATGTGGCCCCCAGTCAGTTTCAACTGAATCGTCTGCTCCTGTCTCTGTATTTGAGGAGTTTCTTGTAGTTTCCTACTTTTTTCCTATTGTTAAGGACACTTGCTAGCTAGGAAGCTAACACATATCAGACTTAAGCATCAAATCATTCAAGGACTAAAACTTTAAAAAAAATACTGCCTGTCTTGTTAAATAGGGAGAGTTCAGTTTGAAGAGGCACTTTGTTACAACTTCCCTATAACAAAAACTTGCTCTTCAATCTGTGTGGATGTACGATGTGCCATTAAAATAGTGGAAAGCAGCATTCTAGTTCAAAGACATGAGGAAGGTGCTATGAGTGACCTTAGCAAAGGCCCAGTTTTACATGACAGAGCTGGAGGAGGGTGTTGGGTCAAGTGTGGTGGAGGCTTCTCATACTGACAGTGCAGACTTCCCTCTATCATCTCCAAACTCAGGTTTCCATAACAACCCTTAAAACCTACCTAGAGCAGCCTATGCACAGCATTGCTGCAAGCTTCTGTGTTGCACTCCCAGGTCTCTCTAAGCTGCTGCCAGTTTCTTGGGTTTTCGCAGACTGTAGTTGCTACCTTGCTGGTCTCCCTGTCTGATTAGGTTCCAGTCCAAATTGTCTTCCTTGTTTAGAATACTCAGTGTGAATGTATTCTAGTCTTATAAAATGCCTTCTCTCTCATCTGTATTACATGAGAAGAATTTTCTTGGGGCTTTTCTGCTAGCAGCTTTCATCTGCTAAGCCCTTGCCCCCTCTGGAAGTCTGTTTCTTCTGCAGCTTCAGCTGCAAACACCACCTTTGTTCTTCTATCTAACTGCAGGTATTCTTCCTTCTTCAGGCCTACTTCCCGACACAACACCAGAAAAACATGGAAGGATGATGGAATGAATTCATTAGAGTTCAAGCTCCTTTCCAGGACAAAGCATCCTCTTTATACCAACATCACTGTGGACATTGGATATGTTCCCCCATTTTCTTAAGGGAATGAAAACAAAAGCAGAGTTTGGGCTCAGCATGGCAGCATGCATATGGGCATTCAGCCTCTACCTCCTGCACCACCTGAGACTAATCCTTTTGACCTTCATGCATTTTACTTTTCTTCTGACTAAGATTTAGAAGAAAAAGCTTCAGGAATAGGGTATGATAGCTAATCAACAGGCTGTGGCTTACTGTAAAATTGTCAAACCACAGTAAAACTACTGAGCCAGACCCACCTCCCAGCCCTTGGGGATCAAGGTCTCCTTGACAGTAAGCTGATCCAAGTTTTCTGGAACCTTTGTTTCACAGGTGGATAGCCCTGTCCTGCTTTGTACTTAAGTGTTAATTGGGATGCAAGCCATTCTGTCAGACAGGCCTCTGAAGTGCTGTATTTTGACAAAGTATTGAAGCCAGTTCTGTAAATATCTTTTGTGAATTTGAGTGGAAAAGTTATGTGTTTGGGTTAAGATTTTCTAGAATATTTAATAAGACTGTAATAAAGGAGAAAGTTGCCCTGATACTAGACAAAACCAGAGCTTAAGGCCTTGTTTTTCTCTGGCCTGATCCATCAGTGTTTAAATGTTTTTATTGTAGCTGTAAGTAATTCAGGCCAAATGGGACCTGAGGCTGTCATCTAGTCTAACCTCCTGCTCAGAGTAGGGAAATTAATCTAGTATTTCAGCTGTTGCTCAAACACTAATTATCTTTCAGGGTTGATCTATCTTCAACATAAAATACTTGAGGAAAATCTGTCAAACATGTCCCTGGCAGGAATACATTTGTCCTTACCTGCCTGTGAGACTGACACAGTCTGCCCAAGACCCTCCCCTTTCTGTAATCTTTCTTTCTCTATAAAGCCAGTCAGTAGCACTGCCTGCCAGGTCCAGTTATTTTGCAAGCATGACATGGGTACTTTTGCTTGTTACTTGTAGATACTAAAATTCCCTGTTCACTGAAAAGCAGCATCTATCCCACTAACACCTAAGAACTTACTTAAAGCTTCAGCCTTCTCTACAGTTGGAATAATGTGTCAACCAGCTAGAAAACCATTCTTCAATACTATAGTAAGCAGAAGTTGCTTTTTGTCTTGTAATTCTTAAGATACTGTGTCCTAAAAGAAACTCCCCCACCCCTGCCTTCACATCTACCTCCACTGGATGCATATCCAACAACAGGTGTGAGGACAGTTAGGTATAATGCAGTAAGGAAAGGAAAGTGCTCTAATCAAGATTTTAGCAGAAATCCTGCAGCATACTGGATCAGCTAGTTTACCACAGACTTCCACCAACCTTCTCAAAGAAGAATCACAAATAATAATGGCCTGGGTATCTATACAAATATGCACTGTGCTAACAGTGTGGCCCAAAGCATTAACAAATGTGGACAGCAATTTCTTTCCATCTGACATGCTGGCCACTGCATTTCTTTCCAGAATAACACACAACCTGCAGCCTGCTGCAGAACTGAGACTTCATTTTGCTACAGGACACTTCAGCAGTCCCACAGCAGGGTGAGCTGAGCTCATGAAGGACAAGAGAAGCCTTTTGAATTCAATGGAGTGTATTTATTGAGAGATTTTTAACATCTCACCTATTACCATTATTGCCCTTCCCTTACACATAAGCAGCATTTCCTCAGTTGGAAAAAATTAGCTTTTCTCAGCAATTTTGTAATTGGTGAAGAATTCTTGTGCTTTTAATGAGAAAAGACTGGCCTGTTCCTTTTGAAGTCATGGAAGTGTTGGCAGTGTTAAGCTGCGTTCTCCCTACAACAAATAAGAAGTTTAGGAATAGTTGCAAGAACAAAATTTTTTTCCAAGTTCTTCCACTGGACCAGCCCAAACAAGGACACTTTTGCAAACGTCCCAGCAAAAAGTGCATAGAAGAACACAAGGACCTGTCCCTTGGGTCAGTCCCTAGCTCCAGTCCTCACAAAAGGAAATTCTCAACCAATCAGTTAGATGCTGTGAAGAAAAACTTTCTTCTGTGCTACTGAAGTACTCTTTCAAGCAGAGTGCCAGGAGTCATCTGCTCTAACAAGCAACGACAAACACGATCTGTTGCCGTTCCCAATAGCCTGTGTGGTGTTCACCCTTATGAGATCTTTGGCTCCATGCTGAAATCCACTGTGATGTTGACATATAAAGGGTTATGTTCCACTGAGAGCAGTTTATATGAACAAGAGTTCAGCCCATCCGTTTTCCATGTTCTAGATACCTGACGTAGAAGCTTCATCCTGAGGACAAAGGAGAAAATCTTCATTGACATGCATAGGAGAGGAGTTTTGAGCTCCTTCCCACTACTAGTAAACTTAGAGGCAGAGCTACAGCCATTCTGTATCTACTGGGAATGTAAAGTCATGCTTTTCCCATCTTCAGCATGGACAATCAGACATGGGGAAAAGTGTCCTTTGGTTTAATCTCTGAAATTATATACTCAAATCATATCCATGTAACTATAACTTTGGAATTTTCTAAGGAAAATCACCCAGTTGATTCTAGGCAGATCTCATGTGCAACAGCTGCCAGCTGTGAACAGTGGTGTCACAGGGGTGTCCCCCAGAGCCTCTGGGTAGGACAAAATGCCTGCTTGCCCTAGAGCAAAGAACTTGGCCTCCAGGTGCCTGGCTCCTAGCCACACACCAAGACAATGCAAGGTGGAACAGTGTTCTTGACTCACCTCTCTCCATTCTCCTCATTACCATGGTCTCGTTTGTGGAAGATCATCGTGTACCTGGCTACATCAGCAGACGGCCTCACCACTCTCATCTTCTGCATCTCAACCCTGGAAGAAACAACAGTGCCGTGAGCAAGTCATCACCTATAAATAAGCTCTCAAGGAAAAAAACCCCAAACATTTGGAGATTTCATCTCTTGTAGATGTCATCGAAGCAAGTACAGAGAACTGTAGGAAACACATCTTCATCTCTTCCACAACCCATTTTGCCAGAGAAATAGGGCTGAGAGTTGTGTTTCTGGAGAACAGGTCCAATAGGGTGACAGATACCCCTTCCTTTTGAACAGAAGCAGGTAGCTACTACAGTAGAGGTCATGTAGAGCTTTAAGCACACATTATACAACAAAGTACATTTAAATTAGTATCATCTGGTCTGGTTTGTACTGCCCTGTATTAAACCCTAGGTCGTCTGTAGCAAGATTCCACACATTTTGCAACAAGTTCATCTCAACTCCTAGCCGCTATACTTAATAGTTCTCCACTTAAAAAAAGCATGTTTTCTTTTCAGTAGTTGGCAGACAGCTGTAAAATTTTTATTTGTTGACATGACATGAAGAAAATTTTCTGAGAACAGTGCCAGAAACACTGAGCCCCATGCATAGATTTAAGTGTCTGACATCAGGTACTCAACTGGAGCTTTTGGCCTTTAATGTCTGTGGAGCACAACAATTTTGTTCTGTCAGGAGAAAGGGTTAACTTCATGACAATGGAATTAAGGAATAGCCCAGGTCTGCTAGTCACATCAGCAGCTGAAAGAGCAATAGGAAACCAAGAATTGAAGAATTGAAGAAACTGAGCCCCTACAGCTTTCCAATGACTGTTTGTAGCAGTAAATTATCAAACAAATACAAAAATGATCTGAAAAGTCTTTGTGATGCACACCTGAGGAAGGGGCCCAAAAGAGACCATCACATCTAGCACAGAGGCAAAACAGCAGGACCTAAGAGCACACCAGCCCAGAGTTCTTGAAGATACTGAAGGGGATGCTGCCATCTGCTGTCTTCGCACAGGAAGGCTGCAAGGATCTCTCCATGCAAGAACCCACCCAGACAGCAAGCTTCCCATTACCTACCCACTGCAAACTCTGTAACCAGCCCAGTCCAAGATCTACCCAAAGGGAAAGGCATGAGCCAAGTCCAGTTGCAGTGTGCACTCTGGGTCATACAATTTGGTTTCCACACGAAGACCACAACAGCTGCAAAGTTATGAGGTGCCATACACAAGCAAGCATCACTTTTGATTCCAACCACTTGCAAACATTGTGGAGACCCTCAGTAAATCCTGCTGATCTGCTGCACAGCTGGTTCTCTGCTGCCCACACGAACATTTGAAAGAACACCATTATCACCTTTGTTCACTGTGACACTTCTCAGGAAACTGAGGAGCAAGATGGTACCAAGCCATTCCCCTACCACTATAAAAGCCAGCTCCTGAGAGGTCACAGAGAAGTTGGTGTCTCTAGCTAGGGGAAGGGAGAAAAAAAAAAAAGTTGTGATTAAGAAGGGACAGAAATCCATGTCACTGGTAGACCTTTTAGATTTCTTGAGATACAGCTGACTGATCTGCTGAACTGACAGAGAAAAGCCTTCATTTGGAAGTTTCTAACTTTAACACACTTGATTTCACCAGTGTAATTATTTAGTATCACCAGGGGTATGAATTTTATGCCCCACCCAATGCTTGTTTGCATATTTAAGCAATTGAAAAGGATAAACACTTAAGAATGACAGAGTATACACAAGCTACAAATTGACAGGCTCTGCCAGCAGAGCTTGCAGGGTTGTGGGTTTTTTTCCCTAACAGCAATGCAGGATTAGAGGTTTCCTCCTAGGCAAAGGGCAAAAGATCAACATAAAAGTTTTGTTGACTTCTTTGTTCCACCAAACCTCTCAAATGAACAAATTTCTCCTACTTTTGACAGGCACATCTGCAAAACTAGTTTTAACAAGAGCAAAGGGCATATGCATATACATGCAGTCTTTCTAAAATTCAAGTTATTCACTATCTTAACTATCATCAACACCACCCACATACAAACTAAGCCCTGCTTGGAGTAAATCATGGTAGTCAATTAATGCAAAAAACCCAATCCCACCAAAACCAAAACACTCTCTTGCAAAGTACTGGAACTCAATACATTTGTGTCTCTTTGGCAAATCACACTCCAGACTTCAATCTTACTACTTTGGTTATGACCAATTTCCAAGCAAGAATACAAATACTGTGTGGCCGAGACAAAAACAAAACAAACCAACCAAAAAACCCACAACAAACCCCACACCCAAGCAACAATCCTGTCAGGAGGAGGACCAGGTCTCAGGCATGCCTAACCTTTTCAAAGAGGAAACTGTTCACAGAACTACATCTCACACTCCAAATCCCCACTGCAATACTGTTTTGAATTGAAGGCTCCTGTAGTGTTTCACCTTTGGAGGCTAGGTGTGAAGTCACACTGATTTTTTTTATTTTTTAAAACCAATGCCTCCCCCTCTCACACCCATTTCCCTCTAGCCTTTTATTTATTTATTACCTGATTCGAAGATCGTCATCTTCTCCACCCCAACCCCAGTAGTTGTTAGAGAATCCATTCACCTTGGAAAACTGATCTCTTGTTAGAGCAGTTACACCTCCAAAATATCCCTGGTACCGTAACCTGGAAGTACACAAGAAGAGAGAAGGAAGAATTAAAAGTCAAGTTCTACCAACAATGAAAATATCACTTTGAAACTCTGGATCTAGACTTGTCTTTCACAGAGTGAAGGGTGCACAGATCCATGAGGTAGGTCTTGTTCTCTTCCTCTTTTCACAAAAAGATAGTGATTTGCTTCAGGCCAGAACTCTCCAACTGAGACAATGTAGCCTTCTTCAATAGTTACTCTCTCTCTTTACACGACTCCCCTTGCCAGTCAAAAAGGCACTTCACCTCAAGGACTCTGGTAAGTAGAAAAGGATCAAAGCTACGCACTAACATAGTGGAAGCTTTGCAATAACAGTAGCAAGCCATCAACTATCTTAGCACTGAATCTGAAACACTTGGAATGAAATCAGATCACAGCAAGGGGTCATGTGCTATGGGATATCGCAGGACCAATTCCAAGGTAAGGTACAGTGCAAGTTACTTAGTAACCTAAGGTAATGGAGTTTAGCTCTGAAGGCGATCAATTTCTAACTTCTACCTTCCTTCTCCTGGAAACTGCATCTACTTTAAAAAGGTGTTTACATACCATGTTTATTTATCTTCTTATACCATTTTGCTAGTTGCTTTTTATGATACCTTCCTCTTTCTTGGCCCTTAAGGTAAGCGTTACAAGACAGCCTCTACTACATTGCCACTGCCAACTTCAGAGGCGATGTGCACATCGCTGCAGATTGCATTTTGATTTCTAGATGTATGTGAATCTAAACAGATGAACAAATTGCCAGGGCTAGAAAGTATCCATTATGGCAATTTGCAAAGGTGCAATGCTTATTATTATTTCTGGTTTACCATGAATCTAATTTAAAAGCACCAAAAAAACCCCCCAAAAAACAACACACACAACCTCCCTTGTAAACTATTTTTCTTGGCTGATTTTTGCTCCTGTCATAGCATCACAGGAGAATTGCAGAGGTTGGAAGAGGCCTCTGGAGGTCAGCTAGTCCAACCCCTCTGCTCAGAGCAGGGTCTGCTAGAGAAAGTTGCTGAGGACCATTTCCGTTCAGGTTCTGAGCATCTCCAAGGATGGAGACTCCATAACCTCTCTGGGCCGCCTGTTCCAGTATTTGACCACTCTCCCAGAAAAAAAAAAAAAAAAAAAAAAGCTTTTTCATATGTTTAAATGGAATTTCCTGTATTTCAGTTTGTGCCCACTGCCTTTTGCCTTTCACGGAGAATGGTGTGGCTCCACCTTCTTTACTCCCTTCCATCAGGTATGTATACACATTGACAAGATCCCCCCTGCCTTCTCTGCTCCAGGCTGAACAGTCCCAGCTCTCTCAGCCTCTCTTGACATATCAGATGCTATGATCCCTTAATCATCTTCATGGCTCTTCTCTGGACTTGCTCCAGTATGTCCACATTTTTATTGTGCTGGGGAACCCAGAACTGGACACGGCACTCCAGATATGGTCTCAGTAGTCCCGAGTAGAAGGGAACAATCACCTCCCTCAATCTGCTGACAACACCCCTCCTAATGCAGCCCAAGATGCTACTGGTCTTTATCATGAGGGCACATTGCTGGCCCGGATCCTTTTCTGTAAAGCTGCTTTCCAGACAGTTGGCCTCCAGCACCTGCTGGTACATGGAGTTGCTCCTTTCCAGGTGCAGGACTCTGCATTTCCCTTCGTTGAACTTCTTTAGATTCCTGTTGGCCACATTCTCCAGCCTCACAAAGTCCCTGGTACATCAACCAACCCTCCAAGATTTCTATCTTCTGAAAATTTGCCGAGGGTGCAATCTGGTCTACCTACTAATGAAGATCCTAACCAGGACCAGCCCTGGTATCAAACTCCGGAGTAAACCACTAGTGACTGGCCTCCAGCCAGGCTTTGCTCCAATGATCAGAATCCTTTGAGCCCAGCAGTTCTGCCAGTTTTCAGTCCATCTCACTGTCCACTTATTAGTCCATACTTCATCCCTTTGTCAATGGGAATGTTATGGGAGACAGTGTTGAAAGCCTTCTTAAGTCAAGATAAACATTATCCACTAACTCCTCCCTTGCCCACCAAGCTAGTCAAATCAGAGAAGGCTATCAGGTTGGTCAGGCATGACTTATGAACAGATTTGCTTCATCACCTTCCCAGGGATTAAAAGGTGAGGTTGACCAGCCTGTAGTTCCTCAAATCCTCCTTCTTGCCTGTCCTGAAGATAGAAGTGACATTCGTTTTCTTCCAGTCCTCAGGAACCTCCCCCAATCATCACAGCCTTTCAAAGATAACAGAATGGCCTCGCAATGACAGCAACCAGTTCCCTTAGGACTCATGGATACATCCCATCAGGTCACATGGTTTTATGGTGTATGCCCAGTTTGTTTGAGTATTCCTCAACTTGATCCTCCTCCACCAAGGGTAAGTCTTTGTATGTGCAAACTTTTCCACTGGTATCAGAAGCCTGGGAATCCTGAAGACAAATCTTGCCAGTAAGGACCAAGGCAGAGAAGGCATTGAGTATTCTGGCCTTTTTCTTGTCTTTTGTCACCAGGTCCCCTGCCACACAGCAGGTACACATTTTCCCTACTCTTCCCAGCAGCTGATGCACCTGTAGAAGCCATTCAAATTGCTCTTCATGTTGCTTGCAAGATTCAACTCCAGACAGGTTTTAGTTTTCCTAACCCCATCCCTGCATGCTTGTGTGTCCTCACAAGTCACTTGACTCTGCTTCCACCTCTTCCACGCTTCCTTTTTCTGTCCTGAGTTTTCTCAGGAGCTCCTTGTTCATCCATGCAGGCCTCTGTCCACCTTTGCTTGACTTCCTGCACATAGGAATGGACCACTATTGAGCATGAAGGAGGCAACCCCTGAAGATCTACCAGCTCTCCTGAACCCCTCTTCTCTCCAGGGTCATCTCCCAAGTGATTCTTCCAAGCAGATCCCTGAACAGGAAGTCCGGACTTGTGATCCTGCTATTTGCCTCATTCCCTCCTTGTTTCTGACCTTCACATCCCTGACCAGTTCTTCCTTCTTTGTAAGTGTAAAGTTCAGCAGAACACCTCCCTTCATCAGCTCTGATCACCTGTGTCAGGAAGGTATCATCAATTCACTTCAGAAAGCTCCTGGATTACTTGTGCCCTGTTGTGTTGCCCTTCCAGCAGATACCAGGATGATTAAAGTCTTCCAAAGGACCAGGACCTGTATACACGAGGCTTCTTCCAGTTGTCTGAAAAAAAGCTTCAACTGTCATTTGCTGGGACTGTGATATACTTCCCAAAAAGATGTTAGCTATATAAACATTGAAAAAAGGATTGTTCTAGGCAGACGCAGTCTCTCATGTGCTCTACCTGCATTTTTTTTTTTTTTTTCCTATCTCTGGAATTTTTACTCTTCCTTGCTCACTCCCCTTTATCTCTTCTCCTAGAGGAGACCAACCACAAGGTAGCAGAGGCCCTACCAAGTTTGCATCACCACCTTGAGACTTCTGCTACAGATGCTCTAGAGAAATGCAGTGAACAGGTGGAATGGACAGCAAGAAGGTCCCATGAACAGCAAGAGCAGGGAAGAGCCCTCCCCAGCCGTGCTTTTGGGCTGCACTGCCAGTCACCAACAGTCCCACATCCCCCTGTTCCAGCAGCCTGGTAGGGTTTGGGAACTGACTGCCCACCCACACACCCATACTGCTTGCTTATGCACCTCATAACTCCCCTACACCACTGGAGAGGCAGACACTGAAGGAGCCAGAGCTGTAACCAGGACAGTGCTGCCCACTCAGCCCTCCTCAGGCAGAGCAGAACTGGCAGGGCCCAAGCATATCTTGCTCCTAGGTGACATCATCTGCAAAAATGCACCTCTGTAACAGCGTTCAACCACCTCTTCCCTGAGGACAAGAGAGCATCAGCTCCTTTGGGATTTTTAAAATTGGACTGAAGAAACCATACAATAGAAATGGTCATTAGGAAAGGATGTTGTGCTGGTCTCAAGGAAATAGCTTAGCTATGCTAGGAAAGTTTTTCCCACGCTTGCCTTCAAAGTTTGAAAGCGTAAACCTTTTCCTAAAGAATCTAAACCCAAGTTGTAATTTATATATAACTAAACATACAGGTACTTGCTTCCCAGAGGAGCACAGCTACTAAGATTAGCATAGAGGATATCCCCCTAGAAGAAAAACAAAGAAACAAAAACCTCAAGAAACCCACAGAAAACCCACATTCCTGCCCAGGATATTTTGTGTTAATGCAGACCATTTATGACTTCAGTTTCCTCAATCCCATCTGAGCAACATGTCGCAGTATACTCACCTCAGCCTAAGCAAAACACTGAGGTCACCCAACTGGGATTTCAACCTGTGGTCTCAGGTCAGTTTAGGTATCTTTCTTGAGCTCAGCATCTGAATTCCTTCACATGTACCCAGGAATTCCCTTGGAAGTAGAGCATTATTATCCCCACTTCAAAAATGTTTAAACAGAGGCAGTGACACAGAAAAGAAAGGATTAATCTAATTCAAACCACCAGTATCCTAGTGAATACTGGTGCAGGGTATTCACAACAAAAACATCTTGTCAGTGTAAGACTCTTAAAAGCCAAGGCTTAAAGCTAACTAACAGCTTCTTTCCACAAACAGGAGAAACCCGAGGAAATTAATAGTAAGACCACCTCTTAGTAAAAGCAAAAAAAAACCAAAACAAAACAAAACACCAAAACAAAAACAAAAAACTATCTGCATGCTTAGCTAAGCTAAACACTCTAAACACTAGCAGTAACTAAGGCACAGGAGGTTAAGTAAAGCACCTCAAGCTTTGTGCCATGTTATTAACCTGGATTCTACGTACCTGTCAATTAACCAAAGCAATGTTTCTGTTGCTTTGGTGCATGACCATCCTACAGCCCTCAGCATTCTCTGCAAGGCACAATGCTCCAAAAACTTGTCACAAGCCTAGTTCATTTGTGTTTGTTGCCATTTTCACTGAGTAACCGGAAAGTGAATACTATTCTGTGTAAGAATTTGCACATCTCACCTCCTTCTCATATATTTAACAAAGGAAACCCAGAAGTGAAGCAGAGCTTTACTTCAAAGTACTCAGAGATCAGCTTTTGAAAAGTCCACTTCTAATTAATATTTAGAGTGACATGACATAAGAGGTGACTCTTGAAAGAAACACATTCAGTGAAACCACTCTAGTCATTAAATTCACCAAGCATAGGAGCCTTTTTTCTCTGAGGTGGACTGAACCTGACTTTTCACTTTAAATTATTTATATTACACTATCACTTAGGGGACCCATTTAAAAACCAGAACGATCCTGTATTAGATCCTGTACAGCCAAATAATTAAAGGACAACCCTATCCTTTGGCAAATTCTCATACTTGAGCTCTCAATATCAGAAGTTCCCTCTTCAATAGCAAAAGCTAAGTGGCAAGTTTTATTAGCACAATAGTAAGATCACAGTGTCAAATCACAGCACCATGAGACTGCAACTGTATTTCTAGCTTTGACAGAAGGTCTTCACACAACCTCTGTCACATTGCTTTCCTTTCAAAACGCCCTTTACCTCACCCCAGAAACCAGAATGATGACAATGATCATTCTTACAGGTGACCATGGAGCTGACTTCAAAGATGTCCGTACAGTTACCTTGTCAGGAGGTGCTCCAGAGAGGCAGAGTGTTACCATCAGAAACCTGGTGTCAGGAGGAAGGGTAGATACCAGCATACAGCTCCATCAGAAGAGGAATATTACCAGTAACTTGGCATTTCCCAGTTGGTGTTCTCTCCACATTCCTGGTTTCTTACCTGTATCCAGTATTGTTCCTGCCAACTACAAGGTGCTTTGGTTGTCTGTCACACATGTAAACGTTAAAGTCATTTTCTGGAACCAGATCCACATCATGGAAAATGAAACAGTCCCAGTTCGCTTCTTTTAGGGCCTCTAGGTATCCTACATTCAGCAGTTTAGCTCGATTAAATTTGGTGCTGCCGGCCTGTGGAAGAGAATGGAAAAAACATCTGAAGAAGGTGTCAAACCTTTTGAACCAAAGCGCTCCCGGGCATTTGTTCTAATTGTGTAGTTTGCAACCGCATTCGTGAGTCACAGCCATTACAGCAGTAACTACACAAAGAGCTACCCCATAATATTAGATACAGCATCAGAGTGGCCAATGATGCAAAGTGTTTCTTCAGTCTCTACTTGTCATGAACAAACACAGCCAGGGTCAGGAGAGCCTACAGTTATCCGGGCACGAGAAGTATGCACGCTGCGTAATGCAATTTCACTGCTATTGCTGCTCCTGTCCTGGAGTTCCCATCAGGCTACATAACAAAAGAGATATCAATAAACAGTTTAGAAACTGGCACTCCATACAACTGTGTCAGTAAGGCCTATGGAAGTTTAAAAAAAAAACCAAAAAAAAAAAAAAACAAAAAACAAACTACAAAACAAAACACACAACCAAACCAAAAGACCAAAACATTACTCCCATACTGATTGGTTTATAGATGCCAAAGCACCTGCCACAGATGATTTATGCTTGTCCACTCAGTTTAGAAGATAGCAATGCTTAAAGAGTTCACTGTATTTTATTAGGTCACACAGTAGGTGGCAGAGTGGGAAACAAAAAGCAGGTCCCTTCAACTCCTATCTATAACCTAATTACGCTGCACAGGGACTCCCCCTAGCACAAAGCTTCACTTGACTTTTACTAGTCTTCGTTGTTTGCTTTTGCTGTAAGTTAGTGCATCTTTGCTTTTCAAAAATATCATTTTTCACCTTTAAGGTATACATATATATACACACACCTGGCAGTTTTTTAAGCTTACCACATCACCATTCACTCTGGAGCAACAGGTGTGCTTATCTTGCTATTTATTTTTTACTGGGCTGTACACACATGTAGAAGGCTTTCTGCTCCTGAGGACAAGGTAGTGAGTTGCCTCAAGTTCCCACCTGGGAGTCAGAGGGTCAAGCTCTGTGCTCCCAGAAACTGACAGGATAGTCATTCTCCAGAGCTAGGAACCTGATGTACTTAAAAGAATAAAAAAGCAATTTTCAAGAGAAAGGGGTCATTTGCTAGAAAGCGCCTGGACTGAAAGAGGCTCCATGGAAGATGAGAAAGAAGTTGGCCTCCCCAGACTAAGAGAAGGTTAGCTGTAGCGACAAGCAGTTGTATACAAAGTATGTTTTATCGTTCTAAAAAGGAACCTTTTGCTCTGAGGAAGCAATTTGTTCACCATCACTAACAGCCATCTGCTCCTGCATAAAGATTTATGGCTCCATACCTGCAGTTAGGAAATACAGCTCAGTGCCCGCTCTGAGAAATTGAAAGAGGGATAATCAATTGCTTCCATTCTCAGTAAGGGAAGGAATGCACTTTCCAAGAAAAATTTAGATACAATTCACCCAAGATCTATTATGTCAAATTCCTTACTTTTTTTTTTTTTGGTTAACGTGTCCTGTATATGAAAATATCTGTCAGAAAATCTTCTCCTGATGTTGAAAGCATAGGTTATTGAGTGAACAGAACAATTCAGATGACTGGTAAAGAACATACAGATAACTTCACTTGTATTGGGTATCAAACCCAGCCTAGTTCAGCAGCAACATTTACCATCTGCTGCTGTTCTGTCTCCCCCACCAGTACCGTCAGTCACCACAGCCCACTTCCTGCACAAAAGGTAGCCAAACGACAGCTAAAATTACTTTCCAGGAAGGGCAGTTTTCAATGTTAAACCATATGCTGAATGAATAGCAAAGTTTGCTCTCATCTTTTATTGAGGACAGAATAATCCTCCTTTGTTTCTATGGAAGAAGAACGCTGACCACAAGACAAACTTATGTTGGGAAAGAAGTTATTCACCCTTTAGGGATTACAAACTCACATTTTTTTCAGCACTACACTCACATATGCACACATTGTGCAGAGAAACACAATTTTCAAGATGTTACAAGTAGCCCATAAAGAAGAGATCTGGAGTATGCCCTTCAATGGCTCACTGAGAAAAATATAAAAGCCTCATTTCTTAATCTTCCTCCAAAGTAAACTCTGTGTATTTTAATAGTTAAATCCTGTTTTTAACTATTTCTTTCCTCAAAAGATACTTAAAACAACTAATAACATCACAAAGGGAGTGTAAAAATGGATTTGCCATGAAAAAGAGTTTTGTTAAACCCACTTTCCAGTCTTTGGGTATACCTATCTGCATGGAAAGACTAAGCAAAAGCTTCCAATCTTCCAAGTAAAAACTTTGATAGAACAAGTCCAGACTTGACATTACTGCTCACATCAAACAAAACTTTCATACTTCTGTATTACTTTTTGCTAACATGACAACAGCCATTGTCCACCTCACATATTTCAATAAATAAAGAACATATGCCCATTCTCCCAATGATTTATTGCTAACCGCTGCTTGCTAGCTGGAGTGAGCCATTACATGTACAATTACAGTATATACTAATGCAGAAAAAAAGCCTCTGTTTTTCCACTCTATGGGTCACATGACTCTAAACAATGAAAGAACAGTCTATTCCAACTGAAAGTATATATCCTGCCATGACTTTTGTTGCTGTTCTGCTATGCCATTGAGCAGAAGTGTAAGCTTTCACCTAGAATGCACTGCCTCATACTGGTTAACTGACTCTAACCTCTTTAAACAGATGGGAGGAGAAACTATTAATTTATCACCTTTTTCTTCTGCTGTCTGAAAAATCTGTTTAGAGTCAAAGCAGAACACGTTAGTAGATGATAGTAAAAGAAAGCAAACACAATAAAAGATCAAGAAAAAGACAGCATATTACAAAAGAGAAATCTATACTGCTTTTAGCTCTTGTGACCAGAACATAAGCACCTTAGATGAAAGACAATGTGGCACAAGTCTGCATGCTCAAATTTTAGCCACTGACTCAGCGGAGCTAGAAAGAAGGCAAATAAAGAAATCAATAAATATTCAAGGAACCAAATGCTCTGCCATGACTACTTCTTCCCAAAGCCCTTGCTGGGCAAGTAAAGCACCTACAAGCAGTAGCTGGTGTGTTTAGTTTGAGACAGCAGAAGTAAGTACAACCACATGATACACACAGCTTACTAAGCACAACAGCCAGCAAGCAGATGGGAGAGAAGAGCTAGGTACAAACTGAGGCCTTCGATCCAAACAACTCCAAATTTGAAGACAGGAGACATGTCAGCCTAGTTACGTATGTGTATACTGCAAGAGAAGTGAGTTGCATTAGTAATGCAAAAGATGCTTATCTTGAACGCTAACTCAGAAATAGTAAGTTACTTAGACCGAGAAATGGACACCAGTTGAAGACACTGTTTGTTAATACTTCCCAGCTTTGCTAACAGCAGCTGAGATCCTGTAGTGTACCAGCAATGGCTGCACGCACCACTGCATCCCTCAACAAGTAGAAGTGTTTGAAGCAGGCTTGGAGGACTGACGTTAGACAGCAGAGGCAGCAAGCATGACTCTCCTAAGACTGCAGAGCACTGACATCATCCCCACCCAAACACATGTCTGCAGAGTTGCCTCACCTGGTGAATAACATAGATGCCATAGTCCAGCTGCTGCCTCTGTAGGAAGGGGTGGAGGTGCTCCAGGAGGTACAGCAGATGCTTCTCTCGATTGCGGTGTGGGATGAGGATGGCCACATGCTGCAATGCTGAGCACTCCGTAGGGTGATACCGGCCCTTAGCTACCTGAGAGTTCTCCTTTTGCACTTCTTCTAGTGTGAGAGATGCTTTGAAGGTGAGTTTGCTGGCACCTCCTGTAGGAAAAGCACAAGAAGCTTTCCCGAGCCGTTTCTGGTTGTGGCTAGTGCAGTCACCTAATGAGGCACTCTGTAACCAGCATAAGAAACCCAGGTTCAAGCCCCAATTGGTTTCCCTGCCTTTCCAAGAGAAAAGTAGTGCTACAAGGACATTATGCGGGCAGTGGAAGGAGAGGGTATCGAGCGTTTAGTTGCTTAAACTGATTATAAAGTTAAAAAAAAAAAAAAAAAATCATCAAGAGAAGTTCCACCCTACTGCAGGAAGATTGGCCAGAAACAGCTGCCAGGGCAAAGCAGAGGAGAGGGAAGTGGAAAGAAACATAGGACTGTGGTTGTGAGAAGTCATCTCTACTTAAAGCACGAACAAAAGCATCAAAGGCTTAAGGCCTTTTTAAGATAAATATATCAACACTCTCTGTAGCCAAATGAAATTTCCATCACTTCCCTTGCACTGAGCTATCATTGCAGCCTCTCTGGACTCGGCAAACCCATGAAAGACAACAAAGCAGTCAACTACTGCTACAGCCACAGTGCGTTTACTTAAGCAAATACGTCCTGGGGGCAGGGGTGGGGGTATGCAGCTAGACAGCAGCTTTTTGGATTACATCGGGGAGAAGGAAGAATCCAGCTTCCCAAACAAATCCCTAATCGTGTTCACAAAAAGGAAGAGGAAGACGACAATGACATGGTACTGCAAAGCAGAAGCCTGGTGCTGCTAGCAATACCAAGACAAAAAAAAGTGGACTAATAAAAATGCCAAACCAAGGAAACAGTGACCTATTTGAACCTTCCCTATAAGTAGTGCTAACCCCAATGCAGCTGTGAAGTCCTTCAATTGTCAAGACAGAGAGACAAAAGTTCATCTAATAATGAAATGGCAAAAACTTAAGGGAAGGTGAGAAGACTTGTGGTTGAGATAAAGATAGTTTAATAAAAAAAAGCAAAAACTGCGAGCGCAAGGCAAAAAGAAATTCATTCATTACTTCCCATTGGCAGGCAGATGTCCAGCCACGCCCTGAAAAGCAGGGCTTCAGCATGTATAGCAATTGTTGGGAAGACAAACGCCATAACGATGAACACCCCCCGCTTCCTCCTTTTCCTGAGTTTTTATTGCTGAGCATGATAAATGGTATGGTCATATGCTATGGAATATCCCTTCTGTCAGCTGGGGTCAACTGTCTCGGCTGTGTCCACTCCCAACCTCTTGCCCAGCCCAAGCCTACCGGATTTTAGGGAGCCAGGGAAGGAAAAGACAAAGCCTCAATAGTGTGCAAACACTGTTCAGCAGCAGCCAAGTCACCGGTGCATTATCAAAGCTGTTTTAGCCAAGATGCAAAGCACAGCACCATACGGGCTGCTATCATCCCAGCCAGACCCAGCGCAGGGACTCTGTGCCACAAATCACTTCCTCAGCCAGAAGTGCTTACTGCAACTGGTTGTGTTGTATTTGTTTCACAGGAAAAGTGTTTAACTAAAACAGCTAGAAAGAAAACCAAGTCAGCAGTACCAAAGCAGATGTAACTTGTTAGAAAGGAGAGGAAAGCACCGTCACTTACGTAGGTACGGAGACAGAGCTGGGCAGTGACCCTGAAATGACTTCACCGTGGGAACTTTCGCAATTGATTTGATCTTCTCTTCCTTTTGATTGTTCTCCAGGCTATTTACCTTTCTGAAATCCTCCACTATGCTCTTAGCTTTAGAAATTTCTTGTCTGGAGTCCACAAAGTAACTGAATGTGGCCCATAGCACCATCAAACACAAAGTCACAAGCACCAACACTTTGAACTTATAGAAGCGGTGAAAGATGTAGAAGCTCAAGGCCATGGCTCTCCCTGATCCACAAACTGCTTCCTCTGCTCTGAGACCAAGGCAGGTCACTGCTCACCCAGTGGAAATGAATCCAAAGAGAAGACCTGTGGTCACAGTAAGGAAGGAAAGCTGGAGGTAGGGAGGGCTGCCACACTTCCTGCAGTTTCACAGTTCATGGAGCCATGGCGCTTTTTGCTCTTCCAATGTCAGAAAATACAATTTAACCTGGCCAAAAAAAAAAAAAAAAAAAAAAAAGGAAAGAGTTAGTTTCTACTGCCCTCCACTGCTGTAACTTCACAGACTTCATGAAAAGAGTTTATGACAAAACATGAAAGAAACAGCAAGTATGAATTACTGGTCAGAAAGTAAGACACTGAGCTTTGGTCCCAGCTCAGCCACAAACCAGCTGCATGATTTTCAGCAAATCACTTTCCTGCTTTGTTCTCCACTCCTAGTCTTTTTTGTTTTTCCTCTCTCTCCGCCCAGGTGGTAAAGTGAAACCACCACCCCATATTATCTCTGTGTACAGTGCCTGGCAATACACAGGCTTTACTACTTCTGTTCCTACCAAAATTAACAACAGCTGCACGGCAAGGGTGTCCGCTGGCTATGAGTAAAGTCAGCTCCCTCCACCAAAATGAAAACCACATGAATCTCTGCAGAATTAAACTATTTTCTTCTGAAAGATTGTATTATTGATGCTATGTTACTGTGCACAACACCGTGTGAACCCCGCAATACTTGACTGACATCAGAAATCATTCCTCTGTATCTGCTGCCTGCCAGTACCACCTTGTGGGTCTTTGCCCAGTATCACCCTCTCACATGCTGCTGCAGGAGGCAAATCTTCCTGCTTTTCATGGGAAAGGTTCAGTTTTTCAGTGTTAGGTCTGTGAGAATCCAATCCTTTGTTCTGCTTCCTGCCCTCTTTCAAGAGCTCCATTTTCATACAGCCTTTCACTGCCATCACACTATAAAGTTACCATGCTAATACTTTTGTCTGTTATTATCATCGTATAGCAGAGAAAGAATGAAATTTTAATAAAAGGAGCTTTGATATGGAAAACACACAAGAAAATTGCCACCTGTGAGAAGAACAAGGACTGAGGCTAAGTGAAGCAAAGGCAGTGATTAAAGACAATGCACACGAAACAGGCTGGAACAAAGAGAAGAAACACAAAAACATGGAAGGTTATTTTATACTAGCTTTCAAAATATACATGAGACCCTGGAGAGATATCGCAGGCAGAAGGAGTACAGTAACTCTACATTCCCACTAGTTTAGCCCAGGTGTCTTGTGGAAAAGTTTTCTGATTCACAGGGATGTGTTGTTGTCAGTAACCAATACTATTTATTCTGACAGTCTTTATTCTGCTTCTCCTCATAACCGGCAAGAGCTGAAGTACTGAAACAACATACAAAACAGACTAGTGGGAATGCGGGCAGGTGGGGGCAAGGGGATCAAGACGTGAAAAAGCAACAGGAGAAGAGGGAAGAGCAAAATCTCAATTAAGGAAAGAAAAAGCACAGGGGCAGGAGGATTCACTTTCCAGCAAACGGGACACTCTAGGTTGCCCAGGAAAAGAGATGGGCGTAATCACTGTTTTACAGTTAAGAAAAATTAATCAAAAAGTTTGAAGTGGGCTCAAGCAGAAAACAGATTAAACCCAGTTAAAAATCTCCCCATGATTCCAGAGTGTCAATTCAATCAGTGTCCACAACAGGTGTGGAGGAAAAGCACCCTAACTAAACAGGAAAATAAAAGTAAGTAGAAGGAAATTAAATGGGAAAATGACATGAATGGAAAGGAAGACAAAAATGCTGAGATTTTCAATGAATATATTTTGTTTCAGCAATGAACTTTACTTCTTACATTTTGCTGAGTCTTGCTGGCAGACATGCCATAATAATATAAATTAGCAGCCATAGTGCCCTAAGAGGTGACAGCAGAAATATCATATTGATACACTTTGAGTTAGATAGTTCCAGTTTTTAGCTCAACTAATGAGCAGTAAACAGGATAACATTTGGTTTTTTTACTATTGCCAACTGAAACATCAATGGGTGCCTTTCATCCCAGCATTACTTCCTAGTTAGCTGTCATATCAGGGAAAGACTTTTGCAGGACAGAAGTGATTCTGAACCGCAGCTTTGTTCAAATTTCAGCTTGGTTGCTTCGGACTCTGATTCACAACTGCAGCAACTGAGGAAATAATGGTCCAGAATGCTTTACCCTATTACCCCACTGTGTATCATCACCAAAACAATAGGGATTCAAATAAAAGAGAAAATGTCCACCACCCCCCACCAATTTATACTCTGGAATAGTTGCATACAGGAAATCAGTGACAAGCTACATGAACGATCTGAGAACAGTAAACACTGTGGACCCCATGGGTAATATTAGCCTGTAATTATTAAATCAAAGACTTTATAATTTGCTCATCTAAACTCTACTTGCAAGTTTCTACGGAATAATCTAAATTTCTGACTTTCATAACCTCTCAGTTACTGTGCAGCATTCAACAGGTGAAGCACTTCCTCTAAGGGGGGTAACCTCTCCACAATAAACCAAGGGTATCGCTGCACAAAGTGCATGCATGAGGAGGAATTTCCTTCTCCACCACCCAACCCAAATGTGTTACAGGTTAACCTGGGCTGAAAAGGACAACATAAAGTTAAGATACTGAATTTAACGTGCAGGGAATGACTATCAACAGGTGTTTGCTAAAAATCAATTTACTAAATTCACAGCCTCCCACTTTATCAGAAGTGGACTGCATTCTCAAAAAAAAGTTAAGACAGTTGCTTACCTCTGATGCACAGATTAGTGCAAATGGGCTGTCCCCCCAAGAAATTCTTTTCTTCCACAAAAATAAAAAATTAAAAATGAACTATCCATTGAAAAAGACATAATGAAACATCAGGAAGCAACTGGCAGAACAAGCTTCTAAAATACTTTTTTTTTTTTTTAAATATCAGGAGGAACAAGCAGGTATAAAATTGCTGAAGTACAAGGATGTTAAATTATGAACATAAACTCTGAACTTACTGCACCAACCTTATTTCTACCCTCCTTCCCTCCTATTCAGTTAGGTGAAATCTCAGACATACCAATTTCCTTTGTCAGCTTTGCGAGATTCCTTTATAAGCAGATGTTACTAAAAGTTCACAGTACTTGCCTCTTACAAATACTCAGACCATACTACTGCCAGTGTGAATTATTTCACATATCTAAAACTACATCTTCGTTGAGTTCTATAGCAGCAACAGAATGTTGCTCTTACTTAAAATACACTGGAGCACTTCAACAGAGCAGCATAAATATGCATGCATGATCACAACAATTAGTCACTTTCAATTCATCACAATACACATGCAGAAGGGCATAATTCATGTTTCATAAACTTGCAGCTTGGTATTTTGATGTTTTCTATGGAGAATACAGTATGTACTTCAAAATGTGGAAAGCATGGATATATTTCAGGTATTTTAAAATGGAAAAACATACACAAATCAGTTTACCCATCAATTTACCTTATATTGTTACTTCATAGATTAAAAGGTATTACGTTTTTTTCCCCTGAGACACAAGAATGGTATGTGCAGAGAGGCATGTCTGATTCTACTAACAAACGATAAAGAACTGTACCCTTATGAATGAAGGCGACTGAGAAACACAGTGAAGAGCTGGCACTTTTACAGCTCCCGCCAAAGATAGAGAACTCGTGAACTTAAGAGGACCGTAACTGGAAATAAAAGGACAAGCAAGAGGTTAAGCCTCAATAAAAACTTGCCTGTCAGAGAAACGAAAGGAAACTTGATCATTGCCCCTCTAGAGGATGTTGCTTCACTATTTCATGCTAAGGTCTCTTCATTTGGAAAAGTGATCTTTCACCAGCAAGCTTAAAATACTCAGCTTGCCAACTCAGGCAGCTAACCCAGAGTCAAGAACACCAGAGTTTGGGCCTTGTAAAGAGAAGGAAAAAAAAAAAAACTTAGGCCTAGGGCCTGCTGTTAAGAAGACACATTTGGAGAAGTAGTATAAAAGCCAGAGTTATAACACATCCATAAAATTAATGGAATAGCCTTAATAAAATACTGGCTAGAATAGTCGTGCAGAATCTACTCCAACCTTAATAAAGCCCAACAGTCACTCTGCAATTCCCATGAAATGGAGCAAATGCTTTGCACTTCGTAACTTCCAATTAGATAAAGTGAAACTCTTATCAATTAAGTACAGATTGAGGATACGCAAATCACAATCACATGATGGCTGAGGTTGGAAGGGACCTCTAGAGGTCATCTGGTCCAATCCCCCTGCTCAAGCAGGGCCACCTAGAGCCAGTTACCCAGGACCATGTCCAAATGGCTTCTGGATGTCTCCAAAGATGGAGACTCCACAGCCTCCCTGGTCAACCTGTGCCAGGGCTCAGTGATCCTCACAGTAGAATTAAGCGTTTCCTGATGTCCAGATGGAGCCTCCTGTGTTTCAGTTGTGCCTATTGGTTTTGGTCCTGCTACTGGGCACCACTGAGAAGAGCCTGGCTCCATCCTCTTTGCACCCTCCCTTCAGGTATTTATACACGTTGGGATGTTCCTCCCTGAGCCTTCTCTTCCAGGCTGAACAGTCCCAGCTCTCTCAGCCGTTCCTCACAAGAGAGATGCTCCAGTCCCTTCATGATCTTCACGGCCCTTCGTTGGGCTCTCTTCAATACGTCCATGTCTTTCTTGCACTGGGGAGAACAGAAATGAACATAGGACTCCAGATGTGGCCTCACCAGGGCTGAGTAGAAAGGAAGGATCACCTCCCTTGACCTGCTGGCAATACTTTGCCAATACCAGCTCAGGATACCACGTGCCTTCTTTGCTGCAAGGGCACATTGCTGGCTCACATTCAGCTTGGTGCCACCAACCCTAGGTCCTTTTCTGGCAAGCTGCTTTCCAGCTGGGTGGTCCCCAGCATGTAACAGTGCATGGGGTTGTTCCTCCCTCTGGATGGCAGCACGACCCTC